GTCAATCAACTTTATGAGCTACATTTGCTCATTGAGTTCACCTCACAACTTTTCACGGCAACACTAATCAGCGTGTTTGGTTTGAGTTTTTTGGATTAAATTTTTTGAAAATTCAGTTTTTTGATTTTCGTGTTTTTTTTGTTTTTAGTGAATATTTTTAAAAATATTCACTAAAAAAAAGCAACGCCCAATTAGTACACATAAATGTGTGTTTGGGAGGGGCCATTGGTTCAATGGTTAAGACTTGGCCTAATAACCTTAAGGTTATGGTTTCAAGTCTTGGGGCCACCACTTTGTGCCTGTCTGAATGTTTGTTATAACTTGTGTTTTTTTGTGCCATTTCATATGGTGGTCAATCAACTTTATGAGCTACATTTGCTCATTGAGTTCACCTCACCAATTTTCACGGCAACACTAATCAGTGTGTTTGGTTTGAGTTTTTTGGATTAAATTTTTTGAAAATTCAGTTTTTTGATTTTCATGTTTTTTTTGTTTTTAGTGAATATTTTTAAAATTTTAAACATTTTTTTTTACTTTTTTATATGCACTTTACTTAGATGTATCTAAAAAGTAAAAAATTTGTAAAAAAATATTTTAAAAATTTAATAAATGCATAAAAATATAAAAAATGTACTGAATTCTCGTATTTTTTTTTGTATTTTTGGTATTTAGTGAATTTTTAAAAAGTCTTTACTTAGATGTATCTAAAAAGTAAAAAATTTGTAAAAAAATATTTTAAAAATTTAATAAATACATAAAAATATAAAAAATGTACTGAATTCTTCGTATTTTTTTTGTATTTTTGGTATTTAGTGAATTTTTAAAAAGTTTTTTTTCACAAATTTTTTAGTTTTTAGGTATATTTATGTTAGGTATGTTTAAAAAGGAAAAAAAAATGCTTAAAATATTAAAAAATTCAATAAAAACAAAAAAACACGGAAAACAAGAAAGTAGAATTTTCTGAAAAGTGTTTTTAGAAAAACACAACCAAGCATAGTGAATTAATTTTGAACCCAGTATTCATTGGACTGTAATTTACTATAGGTTGAAAGCTGCAAATATTTTTGAGTTGGTCCAGCAGAAGCAAGCCCTTCACCATGGAAGAAATCGGTAGCACCAATATAGATTTATTTTACTTTTTCCCAGCTCTTTTTGCAGGAAATAGGAGGGACATAGAATTTTGATGTCGACGTTGTGTATTGCAGTTCTATTTCCTTCCTCCTTGTACCCTGAAGAATCAGTGGTAGAAGTATGGTTGAGGATGCAATTAAATGATGCATAGTTCTGGTTGAAATAGAGAAGGGAAAAAAGAAGGAAATATACTTTTGTGTTTTCAATGCCTTCTAGTGTCACAGGACCAGTCACACTTCTGCAATAAAATTGTTGGTTGATTATGTTTGAATTTATCTGAGTCTTTGAATTATACAATTTTTCTTTGAACAAATATTGTTTGTGTTCCAAAGTAATCATTCAAATTTCTGGTTGCTTCTATGATGAGGCAGGGTTGAACTGGCTAAAGCTATTCCTGGGCTGAGGCCATGGGAGGTTTTAAGTGTTGAACAAGCTATGGATCAGATAACATATGGTGGTGAGTGGTACCGGGAACCTCTTGGTACATTCACAACAGGTCCTCCATACATCAGGCATTGGAATAAGGATGTTTTGGTACATTCTCATCACCGCTCTCTTGCATTTAGCTTTCTATTTGTTTGTGTGTTTTTTTTCCCAAGTGAACAATGCAAACAAAACAGTTTTACTTGCTGCTATATGTCATAATGACTAGTAGCCATCAAATTCAGAAAAGCCTTGGAATTAATAAAAATGGGCAATCCTGAGCCAAATCTGTATTTTTGAAAACAAACAAAGATTCAGAAAGTGAAAATAAAAAAGGGATAGGTTGACTGCGTTGATAGAGGAATCCTTCCACTGAAACTTCAGAATATATTATACATGTGCATACATACTGAAACACTATATCAGATGATTTATGATGACCCAAATCTGTATCCATGTTGTGGAGCGATTCCATGTTGAATAAAGAATTGAATATTCATTGATCAAATCATTTACTCCATAGTTTGTTTGTTGCCAACCACACTAATCTGGGTTCATAAACTTGTTCAGACTCGGGTAGATTCTATTCTGGGCTGTCTTGCTTATGTGATTGTGGGCTAACTTGAACATTTCCTTCTTTGCTTTTGTGGTGTTGCAGAGAATGTTTAGGATTTTCTATGACCTGAGCTTGCAAGTGTACAGCCAACTGGAGCAGACAATTCCAGGTTTTAGTAAAGTAATGGAGAAGGTCCACATAGACGCTGATGCAAGGGATGCCAGGCGCAAGGCGAGGAGGGAGGCACAGAAGAGAGCGCAGGAGGATATTGCATTCGGTCGAGTTCAAAATAGGAAGCCCTAATTTTTGTATATTAAATTCCTACACTTCAAGTTCATATTGTCTTCTCCTAAGTTCGTCTTCTGCCTGTACCACAACCTTTTATTCAGTTATTGAGCAAGGGATGTTTACTTTCTTTTCAAATGGCAACACTCTGAATTTTGGAAACCAATTGGGCATAGTACATACATGTGTTTGCTTTATATATCCAAGGTTTTAATTATCGTTTGATGCACATTGTATTGGGTTTTTAGTCTCGTGATACCGATATATGCAGACTAGTGGAAATGAATGCGTGATATATATCAGGCTAATAAGTTTGTGTATGTTGATTACGAAAATACATTTTTGGTTGATTTTTGTTTTTTTATAATTTCAAACATCAGGATATTTGAAAAATATTTGTTTCTAAAACAAATATAAGTTAATTTGTTTGTGATGGTTCTGATATAGTATTAAACTCTCGTTTGGGAACATGTTATTTTAATAATTTTTAGACTTTTTAATTAAAATATGAGGTAAAAAAATTAGTATGTTTGGAATGATTTTTTAATTTTTTATGAAAAGATGTGTAAAAAGTAAAAAGAAAATGAAATCTCTAACTTTTTTGTATAGGTTATAATTTTTTGATTTTTTTAATAATTTTGTGACTTTTAGGCCTAAGAAGTTATGTGTAAATGGTAAGATTTAGGGTTGGTTTGGGATGTCTTAAAAAAGTGCACTTTTTGACTTATTGGTGGGTTTGGGTTGGGTTTGATGTGATGTGTTGGAGAGATGATGTGATTTAAATAAGATATAGTAACTTTTTGACTTTTTGGCTTATTTAGGCTAAGTTTGGGAAGTCCCAAATAAGTCAAAAAGCCAAAAAGTTACTCAAAAAGCTAAAAAGTTAACACTATTCACCAAAAGTCAACAATTATGGCTGCACAACTCCCAATTTAAATTTTTCTCTACAAATCAATTTTTACAATTTTTTATTACACATTTTTCAATAAAAAGTCAAAAAGTTAACCCAAACATCCATATTTTCAACCTCAATTTTTTAGTCCAAAAAGACAAAAAGTGCACTTTTTTAGTCTTCCCAAACTTGGCCTTAGTACATGCCAAACTAGCCCTTAAAAGATGAAATGAGTAAAAAATTATATATTATGAATTTGTATATATATATATTTTAATCTTAAATGGTTCATAAATTCCTAACACTCAAAATTGAGAATCTCACGAAAGTTTATTCAGTTGATTTATCAACTCTATTTAAGATCAAAGTCACATGTTCTAACACTAATTTTACAAATACTAAGGTCTCGTTTGATAACAGGCTAATTTAGTAATTTTTTAGTTATTTGGCTAAAATATGAGTTAAAAAAAACTAGTATGTTTGGGATGATTTTTTGGCTTTTTACGAAAATATGTGCAAAAAATATAGAGAAAAGAGAATCTTGATTTTTTGGTATGAGTTGTTGGCTTTTTGATTAATTTAGTAATTTTTTAATTTTTTAACTAAAAGGGAGGGTTCCCAAACGAGACCTAAATAACTCATAATTTATCTCCAAAAGTTCATTACTTGCCGTTTGGTAACACTTCGTTTTCAGTTTTCTGTTTATATTTACAAAAATTTTAAAAACTGAAATAAAAACTTGTTTGGTAAAATTTTTGATTTATAAATCAGTGGTCTCAGTTTATAAATTTGGCCAAAAAATGAAAACACAAAAAATGTGTTTCTGTTTTGAGTTTTGAGTTTTTTTTTTTTTTACCCCCCAACACTAACCCAACCTAGGCCACCACCGCGCTGCACTATGTTTCACATTGCGACTGTCTTTCCGACTGGACTCATCGCACCCCCCCAACTGAAAGCTAGAG